GTTTTAGATTTTTTGCTTCGTGCAACTACCCAGTCTTGACAAATAGCTCTATTATTATTTAAGATAATACATTAAAATGGCTTTAAGAATTAGCGGAAGTACGGTGACAAGTGAAAATGTTTTTGACTTTCACGAATCTCTGGAGGAACCAACCGAAAATATTGACACATATAGTGACTCTAATAACAGTGATACTGACACTGAAAGTGAACATTCGGTTCACGACACAGATTCAGAAATTGACGTAAGTGACTTATCAAGCGACGAATGTGAAACAGCATCTAATAATGAAACAAATTTTTACTATGGACGGAACAGATATAAGTGGGCTAAAAATGCTCCGACCCCTTCAAAAATTCGCGCACAGAACATTATTACACACCTTCCTGGTCTTCGTGGACCTGCCTTAGAAACAGTCCACTTGAATCCTGGTCACTTCTTATAACTCCTGACATGTTAGCCTCTATTCTAGAGTACACAAATGAAAAAATTACCGAGCTCAGTGTAAATTATGGGGATACATGTACATTTGTCGATCATCTAAACGAAGGTGAACTTAAGGCTTTTTTGGGTCTTTTATACCTTTCAGGTGTACTAAAGTCTAATCATGAGAATGTCGATTCATTATTTTCGACAAGTGTTTTAGGTAGGCCAATTTTTCGTGCTACAATGTCAAAAGAACGCTTCTTATTTCTTCTCACAGCAATAAGATTTGACAATCATGAAATAAGAGAGCAAAAAAAGGCCAATGGAGATCGACTTGCAGCAGTGTCCTATTTATTTAAACGTTTCGTATCTAACAGTACAGCAAACTACACCTGTTCCGAATATGTTACAGTGAACACATTATTTGGTAAATGCTTTTGTGTATACGGGTAAAACAAATGATCCTAATGCCCAAAAGCTATCCATACCTACAAGATCAGTACTTGCTTTAGTGGAACCAATTGCCAATAGTAACCGAAATGTCACTGGTGATAATTGGTTCACCTCAATAGAGCTAGTTGATGAACTAAAAAAACTTCGACTTACCTATGTAGGTACAATGCGTAAAAATAAGAGAGAAATTCCTCCACAATTTCAACCAAATAAAAATTTCGAAGTTGATAAGTGTTTATTTGGTTTTACACGGGACAGTACAATCGTATCATATGTCCCTAAAAAAAATAAAAGTGTAATTATGTTGCCGTCTATGCATCACGACAAATATGTTGACCAGGAAAGCAAAAAACCTGATATAATAGCTTTCTACAATTCGTCGAAAGGGGGCGTTGATGCACTTGATCAAAAATGTGCACTTTATCGTTCAGGTCGAAGATGCCAGCGATGGCCTTTAGTAATTTGGTATTCCATAATGAATATTGCTATAGTAAACAGTCACATTATTTTTCACGCAGCTAATCCTGGGGTTAGAAAAAATCGATCGGATTTTATTCAAGAGCTGGGAATCAGTCTTATAAATGAACATTTAGAAGTAAGATTTGCAATGCCAAATTTGTCAAGAAAATTACGCTCGATAATTTCCAAAGCATTAGAAAATAAAATTACTCATCAAGATCAGACCAAACCAGAGAGGCCAGCTGTAAGACGTAGATGCTACTTGTGTCCCAGAGGTAAGGATAACAAACATTCCACATTTTGCGCAGAATGTCATAGGACCATCTGCAAAACACATTCACTTCAGAGAGTTACCTGTACTATGTGCAAAGAATAGATAAACACTTACAATTTGTTCAAATATTTTTGTCGCAAGATTCTAACATTACGAAAAAAAACATGACTCTTATTTTTTATATGGTTACTCTATTATGATTTTCTTTTGTATTAGGTTAAGACGTTACTATTATCAACTACTTTTCAGAAAATGAACCGTTAATTTCAATTTAAGATATATTTTTTTTTGTTATAATAATGAGTTATGTTTTTGATCAAAATTTATTTTAAAAGTTCTATAATTTTTATTATAGCATCTTAATTTTCTTGAAATAAAATTTAAGTTTACAAAAAATCTCTTTTTTATATACACATTCATTTATCAAAAATACAAAAACAATAAAAAATATATTTTATATCTTGTTTAGAGGTTTTTAAAATTCGGGTCATCTATGACCCCACGATAGTAGTTATGTGGGTGGAAATACACGATAGTAGCTCAGGGTTAAATTTTTTTACATTTCTGTTCCACTTCTCTTAATTAATCTTTCTTTTTCTAGAAGTTTTATCATGTAGACTAGGATCTATTGTTTCTACTTCACCCATCTCATTTGGCTCATCGGTGTAGCTCAAATCATCAGCTTGGGTGGAAGGTGCCTACAATTCATCGAGTGTAAGCGGATATTCATTTTCATGAACAACATTTTTTAATAAAGAATAAATCTTACTTGATCTTTTATTGGGTAAATTGTAATCAGGATCCTCATCTGTGTCATCCACATATTCTGAAGTCACTTGGGTTAAAACCATGAAAATACTGGGCAGTGTCTTCTGCAATATATTCCGCTGTGGATGTGCAAGCAGTTCCAGCAAAGCCGAACTCTTACTTTCCTACATCACCTGAAAACCAAAATTTAATCAGTTTAAAATTTTTGAGTACCTATTATAAATTTATTATAAATTAGCTCACCATACTTAGGCAGTGAGGAAACTGGACAACATAGCATAAACATTATTAATGAATATTACTTACCTTTTAATTTATTTGTATTATCCTTTAACAGGGATACGATCAATTTTCCTCTTCCATTCATTCTTCGTAAATATTTTTCACAACTATGACTTTTTACTAGTAATAACAGATTTATACTAATATGAGACTGAATGCGAATAAACCCGTTGCGACAAGTCTACGACTGTGTGTCATTGACAAGATATCCCAGTGTTGCTGTGACATCGAAAATAAATTTAACTCACGATTTCCTTCGTTTTGCATTAGGTAAAATAGTTTCTAATCGTATTCACTTATTTTTTATGAGACTGGAAAACATAATAAGGCTGAATTACAAACTCGTTTCAAATCCAGTGATTCGAAATTCTCGAAAATAGTACTTATAGCTTTATGGGCTCTAATGGCTTTGTAATTGCGGTTTTAAATAGAAAACAATTTTAAACTCGTTTCAATAATTTGAAATTTTCCAAAATATTACTTATCAGTTATTTGTATGTCTCTAATGACTATATAATTGAGGTTTTAAAGATAAACAATCTTAGTAAAAAAAATATTATTTAAGTAATAACAATATTTTTCGGTTTCAAATATAAAATATTAATAAAAATGTTTAAATTCCAACACCACTGCATAGCAAGAGTATCAATTCCGTATCTTTTTCTTTGTATGGACGAGTCCAATTTCTGATTCAAGGGAGGGACTCTATCATTACAGTTGTTTATTCACTTCTTCTACATTCTACATCCAAATTTGTCAGCGTCACTGAAAATAGCTTATGTAGTTTATCATTCTTTGATCAACTTGTAGTTGGTTTATATTATTATGTAGTACAAAAATGGCCTACAGTAATGTTGTGTGTCGGTTGCGCTTATTATAGAAAAAACTTAAGTTGCGTTTGTTCAAATAATTCGACAAAAATTGATTCAGAAGATGTGATATACATTACTCCTAGCCCTACTTAAGGTAGTTTCTGATAAGAAATTGATCATTCTCTGATATTTTTTTAAAATATTAATCTTGCATGTATTGCTTGCATTTTATAAACAATGATTCTAGTCTTACCAATTTTTTTAAGTTTTAATGTGCATTCAATGTTTTTATCTATAGTCGAGAATCAAATTTGTAGGCAGTAGATTATCAGAAATGTGGATGCGATAAAGCGACGACACCGTTGCTAGTTCAAAACAAACAAACTAAAAGATTTATTGCCCTTTTACGATTTCCCTTTTACAAGTTATAGGTAAACAAAAATCCTATTTTTTGTAACGAATTAGCGAAGCGATTGGTACGAACAAAAAACATTCATGACCAGTTATGGTCAAAAAATGATAACTTTTTATATTGAGAAGAGGAGAATTGTCGGTAAAATAATATCGAAGGGTGTTTAAATACCAAAAGAGACAAACGGAAAACGAACGAGACAAAAAACTGGTTTTATTTGAGCTGAGATATATAGAAAATAAATAGAATATATTTTCGTGTTTTATTAATAATTAAACATTCAGGCATTCGAGATGAGGTGTTACAGGAGAATGTGGAAAATATCATAGATAGAAAGAGTAACAAATCAAGATGTTCTGCTGAAGATGGGGAAGGAATGCGAAGTCATAAAAACCATACAAACGAAAAAACTGGAATGTCTGGGCCACATAATAGGAGGAGAAAAGTACTCTCTGCTTAGACTCATAATCCAAGGAAAAATCTCGGGAAAGAGAAATGTGGGACGTAGGAGGATTTCCTGGTTGCGAAATTTAAGGGAATGCTATGGGTGCAGTTCAATACAGCTGTTCAGAGCTGCAGCCAACAAAGTAAAGATTGCTGTGATGGTAGCCAACCTCCGATAGGAGACGGTACTGCAAGAAGAAGAATTAATAATTGTAACAAAATAATAAGGAATTATTGTTGTTAAGGCTTTAACAATGTCTTATTAAATAAAACACGCAATTTTTCACAAATTTAATTCATAACTGAGTATGTATATTCTTCTGTCAGTGGTATTTTAGGCAACTAATGATGTTCTTCAACGTTACTTCTTCAATGTTATATGTTTATTGTTATTTGGTTATTTAGGGTTTAATGTATTCTGTCAATCGGTTCAGATAATAGCGGAGTTTTTGACTTGACTGAGTATAGCTGATGATAATTCTTAAATGTTGATACGGATGTAGAATCGATTCAAAATTATTAAATGGAATAATTACAGTAAAGTTGTTACGTTTCCCGTTTTTGTGCCAGTTTGTGTTTGTAAATTAAAAAAAAATCAGTTTAACATAAAAATTTTATAATCTCTATACACTTTTAACAATCATTTTTTACAGTATATTTTTTGTTGCAGATTTTGGAGAAAGATGTCGTCTCGAGGAAAATATGTGCTAATTGCAATAAAATCGTTATTAAAATGCACGAATTCAGAGAGAGATCTATTAAGGCTGACAAATATCTTAAGGTAATCTATTAGTCCAGTTATTAGAGAGTTGACCCCTAAAAATCATACGAACAAGCTGAATTTTACAGAGAATATTAATTTTGGGACCCCAAAAACATGCAAAAAGTTTACCACTTTTATCCTCAGGCTTCCTACTAAAACCCCGCTCGCAGGGGGGTAAAAAATGCAAAAAAATCGATTTACCAAAAATGTGTACACTGTAGAAAAAAATGTTTCAAATAAACAATGTAGATGCGATAATTTTAAACAAAAATGTTTATAAGCATTTTTTGTGTAGCATGAACAGTTCTCTTAGAAACAACGCTTGAAGCGACTGTCGATTTTCCATGTCAGTTATTATTAGACTTAGGTAATAAAACAGTATGAAATATGCGCATAGATATGCAGCAAATTTATCTAGAAAATATGAATGTAATAAAAAATATTTACAATATTTTTTATTTCCAAAAATACTATATATATATATATATATATATATATATATATATATATATATATATAATATATATATATATATATATATCGGTTTCAAAATGTCTTGCGTCGTTGTCTGATGCCTAATTTCCACGAATTTCTATCATTTCATTGTTCTTCGGTCAAGTCTCGGAAGCTCATTGCCTTTGTTATTCCCTCCTTTCATGTTCTTTTTGGTCTTCCTCGTTTCTTACGATTTGGTGGTATCCATTTCATGGCGATTTTTGGTAGTCTTGTTTCTGGCAATCTTTGAACATAGCCATACCATATAAGTTGTTTCCTTTCTATGTCTGTTGCCAGTGATCCATCTACTCAGATCCGAGTCCTTATTTCATCATTTCTAATTCTATCTGCCCTAGATACTCGAAGTGATCGTCTAAATACATCCATTTCTGTTGCTTCAAGTTTTCTTTTATTGCTTTCTGTTAGTCTCCATGTCTCTGTACCATAGGTTAAGCTGGTTTTTATGAGAGATTCATATATATTGTATTTTCGTCTTTTACCAATTTCTGAGCTCCAAAGAACTCCGTTAAGGCATCCAATTGTTCTACGGGCCTGAGTTATTCGTTTTCTAATTTCCCTGTTGTCTGTATCTGTGGTGTTACAATATTTTAAATACATAACATATACAATTATTTTAACATATAAATATTATTTTGAATTGTGGTAACAATAGATTATTAAATGATGTTCAAAATTTTCTAATAAAAACTTATGGCTTCTATCTGAACGCATATATTTGTAAATAGAAAAACTTTTTTCGACATCAACTGATGTAACTGGGGCATTTTTCAAATTTACTATAATACATGGTTCTAAATTAAGTGGTTTGGAAAATGTCCCAGCTAGTTCTTGAACCACTTCGGAAAGAACCTGGTAACCACTATGTTTTTCAATGGTTACTTTAAATTTTTGAAAAATTTCCTTTCCAATAGTACCTTTAACGTTTTGACATAATGACTCAAATTCTTTTATTAAAACTGTACTCTCTAACAATGATAATTTGCAGGATTGTAATTGAGTTATAGTTTTCTGGACAATACTATAATTTGATTTTATGGATGACAGTTGCTGTCTGAGGATGATATTTTGGAAGGCTTGCTTAGCTTCCAATAAAGATTGGCAACTATCATCCGTTAAAAGATTAATTATTTTTTAAAACATTGTATTCTTACAGGTGATTTCAGGAATATTTTTTTGACGCTCGCTATTAAACTGTTAACTAGTGGAATTTTTTTTCTTATTTCCTCCGCAATTCTGTTTATTCCATGCGCTAAACAAGTGACATATATTAAGTTTGGATAAAATATTTTTAAATGTTGTGCTGCTTTCACCATATATGGTGTGGCATCAGATAAAATAAGCAATAATTTATCATTAGGCACAGCAGCAGGAAGAAAAAAGTTGTTAATGCTTCTTGGAGAAACCGTGATATTGTTAGAGCGTTGGGTTTTTCCACTTTGGTTCAGTTTGTTTTTTGGAACTTGACTGAAAACACTTGGACACTAAAGGTTGATCTTTTTCACCGGTTGTGGTTTTTAGTTTTTTAGCTAAATGTTTGGCGGTTCTGACATGCGGATTTATTTAAATTTTTTTTTTCAGATGAAATCTAAAATAAACTAAAAATGAACCGTTTTTGTATAGCAATTAAGATATTTAAATTAAATCAAATAAAAATCGGTGTAGTAATCTTGAAAATGTCAAGAAATGACTGTGCAAGAAGGAAGAATCCCCAAATATTTACAAGAGGCTCTTGGTCTTTTCTGTTTACATTTAAAGAAAAAATACTGCGAGCATAAATTAAAAGCACTTAATTAATTAAATCCAATATATGATATGTTTTTGTTTTTAGCAAAATTAAAGCAAACTATGTTATTGTTAGAAAAAAAAATGTTAGCGACCTTTCAGTAGACTATTGCATGATTTGAATTTTAAATAGGTACCTATCCTATTTTTTATCGCAAGGAGTTTAAAAAATGCTTGAAAAAAGAAAAAATACATCGATTTATTGCGAACTAGACTGGTGTCAGTACTTTTTTAAAGCCTGGTTGACACGATCCAAGTGTACTTGGATTCCAACATGGACCAAGTGGACTTGTACAAGTGTACTTGTACCGAGTTGGTTGCCACGGTTAAATGACTTGGATATCAAATTAATTGGATTGTCTTTATACGTACATTTCATAATACTTACTCAGCTTCGTATAATTCCAACACTCTTCCTTTCAGACCATTTTCTATTTGTTTTTACTTCTAGTTTTCGATTTTTCGACACCGACGCCATTTTAATTTTACACACTCTACTTAGCCCTTATTAAGTAAGACGCTAGCCAAGGAAGTTGGCTAGCGTCTAACTTAACTTGAATAGAACCTGTTGATACAAGTGTACTTGGATGAACAGGTGACATGATCAAAGTAGCTTCCAAGTGTTGCGCGCCCAACGTCCAAGTACACTTGGATCGTCTCAACCTGGCTTAAACATAATCTCCAATTTTTTGTACCACCGTTTAAAATTTTTAAAATAAAATAAAAAATAGTACGTATGTTCTTACGGTTTTGCTACAACATGAGCTTTATTCATATCCATAGATAGCTCTTTGTAAGGTTTTATCCAAGTTGAAACATTGCTTATTTTTGGCATTTTCAAAGCACAATAATTATTCACAATTAGAAATACACGTTTACGCCTCCAATTTTACAACAAAAGTGAAACCAAGTGAAACTGACCGTAAAAATAAAAATTTTTATCTAGAGACATAAATTGGTTTACACAAACTCTTATTTCCAGGACAAAACGTGACAAAACTATAAGTCGCTGTCTTTTATTAGTTACTATACCAAGAATTTCAATACCAAGTGATAATAAAACAAAATTAGATATAGGCATTTTCAAGTCTAGTTATAATACACGCGCGAAATCAATGTTCAAAGAAATTTGTATCAGTGGGACAGTAAAAATTCAATATTTTTAAAGACAAAGAGTGCAGCTTTAAAACTCATTTCAATTTTTGTCAATACGTTACTTGAATCAAAAGATATCGAATTTCTACCATCGAGCTGATAATTTTTTTATTGAAAATTGATTTCGCGCGCTTAATTGAAATGCAAAATCGACGGTTGCTTCAAGCGTTGTTTCTAAGAGAACGGTTTATTTTGCACAAAAAAATGCTTATAAATAATTTTGTTTAAAATTATCTTAGCTACATTTTTTATTTGAAACATTTTTTCTACCGTGTACAAATTCTTGGTAAATCGATTTTTTGCGTTTTTACGCCCTGCGAGGGGGGTTTTAGGGGAAGCCCGGGGGTAAAAGTGGTAAAATCTTTTTTGGAGTCCCAGAATTAATATTCGTGACAAAATTCAGCCTGTTCGTATAATTAATAGAGGTTCAGTGGCATTTTCGTCTCTGACGACTGGAGTATATAAGTTTGTTTTAATTCGTTTGCGTCATACAGTGCGTTAAGTTTTTGATTAGGTATTGCACACTATACGGAACGCTTAAATCGGCAACGTTGCAAACTTTCGTTCTCCGACCCGAGATTATCTCAGTATCTACACCGACAGAAAATCAAATTTTAGTTTAGTAAGTGTACACCTACATTGGAACCGTATTTCTTCCGATCCGATATCGGGCGACGTCGGCCGACGTCGGATTGAAAACAAACTCATGGTATTAAATCATAGTGCCTATACTGCTTCCATGACTGTGCTGGTTTTCCCGCGCCCAATACCTCATAATGGAAGGATTGTGTCTCCCTACTAACGAAACAGAAGATTCATCAGTGAATAAAATGTTTTTAATAAAATTTGGTTCACTATTAGCCTTCGTTATTAGAGTTTCACAAAACTCCATTCTTTGCAAGTAACCGTCTGGATAAAGCTGCTGCGTTTTCGAATATTTAAAATTCTTGTAACCGTGCTTTTTCCATACTTTCGTTACAGTAACATTGCTAATATCTAACTCTCTAGCAACGCTTCTACTTGAACGTGTTGAATCTACCTCGATTGTTGCACAAATTTGTGTATCCCGGTATTCTCTTTCCTCAACTTTTTCTGATAACACTTCTTGAGCGTGACATTTTCTGCAATTTTTGAGGCAATAACAACTCTCAAAATTTTTAACAATATTATAAATTGACTGTACACAAGGAATTGGTCTTCCCTCAAAAAACACAGAATATAAATCTACACACTGTTGCGCAGAATTGCCACTATAAAACCATTTTATTATTTGAGCTTTTTCCGCGGCCATATAAACAGACATGTTTACAAAAATAAATTAAAACCCTACGCTGTTATACCTTTAAACAACCACGGTATAAATGACAATATGACAAATTTGCCGACGGGCGACGAGCAACGACGAGTCAACGAAGCAGATATGTAGTGCAAGTCGACGACGCGCAGTGTTGCCATTTATAGAGTGTATACCTATAAGTCGGACAATTTTTAATTAAAGGTGACTAATCTACAAGTTGAACTAAACGGCAGCGGCAACCATGAAAAATTTCATTAGTTCATTCTTA